AGAAAGTGCTGCAAGCAAACAAAACCTTGTTCTTAGAGCTAGCAAAGGAATACATAAGGCAGGGACCACCACTTGGAGACTATGCAAACATGTGTGTGCAACGAACGACAGAGAATGTGGAATCTCTCAAGGCTGCATTTGAAAGAGAGCATAAAGAAAAAGTTAAAAAGCCTTGGAAGTCATATCTGGTTTATGGGGTCTTTGTGTATTTCATAGTCTTCGAGCTGTTTACAACGCTGTAATCTGTAGACAGCTTACAGCGATGCAAATCATTCTTGTCCAAAGATGTACAAGTGAATCTTTTTCTGATGGAGGGTCCATTGGTTTTTTTTCTCCCCCATGTGGAATAAGCCAGTTCTGCATTTTGGAAGCAAATTCATTGAAGTATTCCTGGTGTGGCCGATGTATGTTTTTACTCTTTGAATAATTCTCTTTTAAGCCAGTTGTAGCATCTTCCTAGTTCCCTCATTAATTAGTGAGTTAAAATCTTTGATGTGTTTTTATTTTATATGTGTATAAGAGGCATAATTTTCCCTTTAAAAATATACTAGTAGATCCTTTTATGTGAGCACGAAAGGGGCTGCCTGGCAAAGTATGACATGTTTTAAAATATAGGAATGAGGAGGAACGTGGTGTGTTGATAGCATAAAAGGCACGTGGAATAGTGGAGAGATGAGGCTGGAAGGGGAAGCAAACGTTAAGGCAAACAGAGCTTTGTGATGTAATGGAAGTGAAAAATGTAGTGTCTTCACAGTTGGCACTAGAATTCCTCTTGGGGAAGTTACTATAATTTTTTGAGCCAATATTTGGATTGCTGCTTGGTGGTAGACTGAAAGAGCCTGAATGTCAGCAGGGACCAAGGTAAACATCTTAGGAAGTGGCTAGAGCAAAACGAAATGTGTTTTAGCTCCCGAGAAGAGAGTAAGAAAATAATCAGGGCTATGATGTGCAGTTAGAGACCACATGATGTGCAGGGCCAGTATAAGTGATTGATGTTGGAGTAACTAAAAAACATTTCAAAAGGGGATGCCTAATGTTCAATTCGAAGTCATTTGTATTAATACAATGTACACCTTTCCAAAATTAGCTTTGTGTCCCTTAATTTTATAGCCAAGTTCTGGGGGGTTTATTAAGTGTTTTTAGAACTTAAAAAGAAGCAGAATTACACATCTGAGCTGCTGCAGAGGCACTACCCACTAAAACCTGAGCCCAGAAGTAGGAGTGCTTATGGAAAAAAATTCAGAGATATAGAAATCTGGGAGAGGAACTTGGAGACCTTATTTAGGCCTCAATCTATATATATATATAAAAGCCTAAGCAACCAAATGACCAAACGACCCATTGACTGGTTGCTATAATGTGTACTGACCACGATGCAGACGCTCAATGCAGGAGCTGCCCCTGGTGGTCAGTGCACTCCCACCGCCAACCTCCTGCGGCCAGCCAACCTCCCCCTGTCCCTCCCCTGGCCGGCTGACCCAGATTGCCGGCCAGGCCAAGGGACCCCACCCATGCATGAATTTGTGCACTGGGCCTCTAGTAGGTAACATATCTACAGCTGACATATGGGTTACATAAACCAAACATAAAGAGCCTCTACTTGATCTTGGAGATGATAGAGAGCCACTGAGGTGGCTGGCTTGACAGGATAGCCCTGCCTAGAGGTTAGGAAATGACATGAAAAAAAGCCACCAAGTGCTCAGTCAGGGTTGGGAAGGCAACAGGAGAAGAGTTGCAAATTACAGAGCATCTTAGGTGGTTTGTGAATGGGGAAAATTACTTTCCATGGGACATTAAAAATAAACCCATAAAACCCAAGACAGAGAGCTATGCTGTGACTGACAAAGTAATGGGGGAAGGTCCAACAGCTATTCTGATCATCAATTCATTGTTTCATACTTCTAGTTTCTAGCAGAGAAGGAAAGTCTAAAATTAGCTTCTCACATGTTGTCAGGATTTAAGAAACCCTGTTAATACTAATGCAGGGGGAAATGGGAAATGATGTGTGAATTGCATCGGCATTTCCCAGCAATGGTTCATGGAAGGACTATCTTCCTTATCAACCACAAATACCTTTTGAAAATCACCTTACACTGGGACCCTCTGCGGGATCCACTGGATTTAGAGATAGATCAATGGTGAAGAGCAAAGGAGACAGGGGTCGGGAAAGAGGAGGAACCTCCTCTTGGAATCTTCATCAGGAGCAGGGCCAGGAATAGTGCCTGTTCCTGTAACCCAGACTGGAAAAGCTCATAATTCACAGGGCATTGGATAGAGTGCTCAGCAAAGTCTCGCCTCAGTAGTGGGGAATAGGTAACTCTGAATCCTGCGCTGGTCCTGCCTTGAAAGCAAGACCCAAAACGGTCTCTAGTCAGATCAAACCATTTGCAAGTAAGTTGTCTCCCTCCTAGAACATCAGGCCATTAACCACATGTGGCTATTGATCACATGAGAGGTGGCTCGTGCCCGACTGGGGAAAGAACCAGCTAAGATGAGGGCAGAGGTGTGTGTGGAGAGGTTTAGTGGTTTATGCCAGACCTTGCTGGCCCTGGGAAAGGTTTACTCTGTCAAGGAGCAGCAGAAAGCCACGGAAGGGTTTTGAAAAAAGAAGTCATGGGATTTGATTTGCTTTTCAGAAAGATCCTTTCCGCTGCAACATAGAGAAAATGCTGGAATGGCCTGCGCCTGGAGGCAGTGAGACCAGTTGGCAGTAACCTGCTGGCAATAAAAAATTAGGGAAGTTACAAGATATTTATACCTTCATAGTAAGTGGAATGAGAGGAGGTAAATCAGGCAGAAAGACAAGTTTCATTTAGGCTATTGCAAACTTACTTGATTACGTGGGATCCCAATTTTCTCATCTTGGAGAGTGACATCATGCCTGGCCCTGCACGTTCCTCCTTCCCTTTTCACAATGACTCAGAGCCCATTGTGTGCAAGGGACTCAGGAGAGAGTAAACTTCCAGTATTCTCAAAAGAACTTAAAATTGTTAAAAAAAAATACCCGTTTCATTTTTGTGAAGCGCCTCATTTCTAAGGAACAAAAAGCACTTAAGTAACATTGTCTTATAAGCCTATCCACTCGCTGTAAAGCTGGAATAATCAACAAGCATAGTTGATCGACTCAATACCAGGGTCAAACATCCACTGACATATTGATAAACTATCCAAAGGGAGTGTTCTCTCCTATGAGGATTTTCCACGCCATCAACATTGATCAACCAAATGCATCCTCCAGGCCACCTCGAAAGATTAAGATTCACGTTTGAGAGCTCCAAGGATCCATAAATCAAGAGGACCAGTGAATAACTATGATTTAGAGTTTATTTGTAAAATACTTTTATATGTCTTATCAGCCTATTATTAGAATAATCACTAATGGTATCATATCTGGTATATATGCTTTCCCTAGATTTTTAAAAGTTGGAATAGTTCAATCCCAATCCTCATGAATTCATATTAGTTATAATTATCTCATCTAAAAACGTAAGGCAATGATTCACTTGTTAAAACCATCTTTAGTGGTTCTACTTTTCTCTAGAAGAATTATACCTAAACACTTCAATCTTCTACGCACTCATAAAAAGTGATTCTGTTTTGAGACAATTCATTGTCTTTATATTTTGATTAAATATCTGTAGAATTCATAAGGCAACACAAAATAATGCATATCTTTTGTACATGCACACACCCTTGCACACACACACACATGTGTGTGTGTGTGTATTCATTTTTTAGAAATGAATATACATACATTTCTAAAAAAAGAAATGAACTTTGGTGGAATATTTGTAATTCTGCCCTTACAGAAGATTAAAGTTATTTGAAATCTAGAATTCAGATCAGACTGTGAAGTTAAGCTATAGATAAGCTTTTTGATGAAGGGAGGATAATACTAGTATACCAGAAAGGATGCCTTTGAAATTCAAAGTCAATCATAGGGCTATGAACCTATGACCACTGGGATGATGAAACAGCTGAAATTCACTGCAGTGTAGTCCAGGTAAACCTGAGGAGAGGTGGGAGGTAGATATTAGAGGAAAGGCGCTCAAATCTTCAGCTAACCCAAGAAGAGCCTAAAATACAATAGATAGTAAGGGGGAGACCCCCCAGTAAACCAAGTGTGCTACTTTTCATTCATACTGCATGTAGGACCTATACTTAAAGTGCTCTCACAAATTGAATGCTAAACACCTTCTTACAGGGCCCAGGTTTAAGATCTGTAGCTCTGTCCATTTGTTCGTTCAGCAGATACCGAGCATCTCATTGCGCCTGTGCCCTGTACTAAGGCCAGAGATAATAAGTTAAAAGACACTCAAGGCATCTTGGGCTGAAATGGGAGAAAGAGAAAAAGAAATTAGGTGGCCCTAACTGGTTTGGCTCAGTGGATAGAGCGTCGGCCTGCGGACTGAAAGGTCCCAGGTTCAATTCTGGTCAAGGGCATGTACCTGGGTTGCAGGCACATCCCCAGTAGGGGGTGTGCAGGAGGCAGCTGATCGATGTTTCTCTCTCATCGATGTTTCTAACTCTCTATCCCTCTCCCTTCCTCTCTGTAAAAAATCAATAAAATATATTTTTAAAAAAGAAAAGAAATTAGGCGGTGCATTTGACCAGAATACCATGGAGCACTAGGGGTGGGAGATAGTATAGAAACAGTAGTAAAAGCAGCTATATTTGATGAACACTTCCACACCAGGTACTGCTCTTAATCTTCTACACGCATCAGTTCGTGAAATCTTCACAACCACCTAAGAAGTAGGTACAATCATTATCCCATTTTATCCTGGAGGAAATAAAGGTACAGAAAGTTTATGTTATTTGCCTAAAGTCACACTAAATTCCTTACCCAAAGTACAGGTTGCTTCTGAACAAATGTCTGGATTACCTCTAAGGAGCAATAGAGTTTAATAATAATAATAATAATAATCAATAATAATAAAACATTTATTCAGTACTTGCTATGCACCAGACATTTGTTCTAAGTACTTTATATTCTCATCAACTCCTCACACGACCATCTTTTTTTTAAGACTTTATTTTTTAATTAGTATACTTTGTTTTTTAGAGCAGTTTGAGGTTCACAGAAAAATTGTGTGGAAGATACAGAAACTTCCAATTTATCCCCCTTCCCCTCCACCTCCCCCCTCCCCCCGCCATGCCAATGATCCACATACTGTTCCTTATTACCCTGCATTAACTTAGTACTTCTGTTACAATTGATGAGACAATATTAATACATTATTATTAACTAAAGTCCCTAGTTACATTAGGGTTAACTCTTTGTGCTGTACAGTTCTGTGGGTTTTAACAAACAAGTAATGACATGTATTCACCATTACAGTATCATACAGAATCGTTTCACTACCAGGTAATTTCCCTGTACTCCACTATTCATCCTTCTCTCACTAGCCCTGAACCCCTGGGCACGGCTACTTTCCTTTCTTCAATTTGTCCTTTCCACAATGTCACATGCTTGAAACTATTATGGTTTCTGTCACTGAGCAGATGTATTTAAGGTTCTATGTCCTTCAGGGCTTGATAGAGCATTCCTTTTATATTGCTGACTAACATTCCATTGTATGGACATGCCAGTTTGTTTATCCATTCGCCTGTTAATGGACATCCTGGTTGCTTCCAAGTTTGAGCAATTATAAATAAAGCTTCTATAAACACCCACGTGCAAGATTTTGCGTGAATATAAGTTTTCAAGTCATTTGCGTAAACATCTAAGAGTGAGAGTACGTGCAGGTTTGTAAGAAACTGCCTGTCTCTCAAAGTGGCGGCACCGTTTTGCATTCCCGCCTGCAGTGAATGAGAGTTCCTGTTGCTCCACATCCACCCCAGTGCGTGGTGTTGTCCGTGTTTGGGATTTTTGCTGTTCTAATGGGTGTGCAGTGGTATGTCATTGACGTTTTGAATTGCAATTCCCTAAAGACATACGATGTGGAGCATCTTCTTGTATTATTTGCCCTCTGTATAGATCTTTGTCCCGTTTATTAACTGGGTTAAGAACCCCATTTTCAGATGAGAGCACTGAGGCACAGAGGCCTTCAACAAATTGTCCACGTTTACACAGCTGGGGTTGAGCCCAGGCAGGAGGGCCCAAAGTCCACAGTTCTAATCACTATTCTGTAATGCCTTCAGGATACAGGTTTCAGAGCCAAGACCAAAGCCTGGATCTCCATGCTGCCTGTGCAATATCCATGGTGTCAAACCTTGGATAAGTTACTTAATCTCTCCAAGCCTCACTTTCTCTGTAATAAGAGGATAACAGGTCTCAGTATTGTCTGGAGGATTAAAAGAGAAGGAAGGAGAGAAAGTGCTGAACTTGTTCTCAGAACAGAGTGGCTGCCAGTAAGTGGTCGCTATTATTAGTCCAGTACCACATGCAAAAGTGAGATGCCTGTAGTAGCCATAAGAATCAGCACCTGCCTTGAAACTGAAAAATATCAGCCTGGAGCTGCAAACTCTACAGAAATTCAGACATTTCTTGGTGAGGTTCTCACAATCAGTTGTCAGCAGACACTTCAACCCTTTACACTTAATGTCCATGAATGAATAAAAGAACAATAAATAAGTTAACTATGCTTGAAAGAAATCAAGTTCCATGGCTTAAACTGGTATTAAAGTTCTGCAAAGTACTTTGATTTTATTGTTTTAAATTTAATTTTTTGATTTGCATTTACTCATTCAACAAACTTTTTTTAGTACTGCTACTATGGTATGCCACTGGCTTAGATATTATTAATATGAAAATGAGACCCTCCCCTCTCCCCCATATAAACAAACAGAGATGGAAGGGTTGGGGAGCAGCTGGGTTGAGAGAGAAAAGAAACTAACATTTTTAATGAGCACTTAGTACCAGTCTCATTTATGTACAGTAATCTATTTACTGCTCACAACAACGCCATGGCATAATTTGATCACTGAGACCTGAAATGAACACATTTCCTAAACCTATGTTAAACATTCTGGAAGTGGACGTACCCTCCTACCCCTGTGTTAGCTAGTACTGAAGAAAAAAAAAAAAAGCAGAAATGACCTAACTACTTGCTCCTGGAAAATAAAACTGTAAACCAACTTAAACAGTTTAATTCTAAAGTTAACTATATGCTCGCCTCACTGGGCCCACCAATCCAAAGCTAGAATGTCACAATTTCTGCCCAATCTCAACTAGTTCTTCACTTTGAAAATTATCCAGCCAGCCCTAAGTCCTAGAATATCCTCCCCTGACTTCTCCCTTCTGAGGTATTACCAAGTCCCTGTCAAGATGGTGTTCATGCTTCCTACTGTGAATCCAATACATACAGACCTGTTCGATCAGTTGATGTGGGGGGTTTTCTGGTGCTCTTCTGGGGGAGTCAGCAGTCAATAGCCCCATTCTTTGATGAAGAGGTTTGCCCAAACTCATATAGCTATTATGAGCTACTTTCTTAACAAGCCAATTGTCAAGTGTAGCTGAGACTGACTCTGAAGTTCATGTTCCATCCACTGGTGTACACATATAGGCATAAATGCTAGATGAGATAAAGAACACATAGGTTTTTGCTGTATATTCTCATATGTTCACGAGCAAGCAACTTTAAAAATGGCTATCTATAAATGCAAGGGAAATTCAAGTCCTTCATTCAAGTCAAAAACTATTTACTGCCATCTGTTCTTCACAGTGACACAGCAAAAAAGTGCATAAATAAATGACTCACAGATCATAAAAGAGTTGCCTAAATGGGTTCCATAAATAGATGCAAACAAACAAGAACTGAAGTCTAACTACTGATTGATAATTAAAGCTTAGAATTTTGCACATGATCCTAAGAAAATCACATGAACCTCCCTCCTCTGGCAGTGTTCAATGTGCTCATAATCATAGACATTCAGGGCCAAAGCATTGAA